GGTCAGAGGACAACTTGGTGGAGTCATTTCTCTCCTTCCACCTTTACATGGGTTCCCAGGATTGAACTCAGGTCACCAGGGCTTGCATAGCAGGTGCCTTTACCCACTGAGCCATCTCACCAGCCCTCTATTATTTTATTATTATTATTATTATTTATAGTAAATGAAATGGAAAACGTTTCAGCTTAAAACATCCACGTACATATGTACACAGACTCAGGCACAGAACACCGATTATTTCACATGTAGTCTTTCAGGAATGTAGATGGTGACCAGAAATTGCAAGTCTTTTGACTGGACACCGCCAGCATTACATCGTTAAGCCCATGAATGGGGTACACGGTGTTGTTCAGTCCTGTAGCTGCAGATTGCAGCCGTATGTTCGTCCTTCATCACCGTGACAGAATTCCTGAGATCATTAACCTAAGGAGTTTACTCTGGCTTCTAGTTTCATTTCATGGTCACTTGGCTTTGTGGCCTTGGGACTGTTGTGGCCCTGTATAGCATGGGGAAAGTGAGGTCGAGGAGGCATGAAGGCACTGGCCTATCTCTTTCAAGGGTGCGTCTCCAGTTACCTAACTTCCTTTTACTAGGCCTCACCTACTGAAGTTTCCACCACTGCCTGATAATACCACAGGTTAGACCACGCCACAGCACACCAGTCTTTGGATGACACTCAAGATCAAAACAGTAAGAAACAGGAAAAGGACATAATGCTGTTCCCAGAAATCCCCCTCTCCGATCTCTGGGGTACGACATGGCTGATCCACTTATCAAAGTGAGTGTGCCTCTCCTAAGAGAGAGCCAACCTCTTTCCCAACTAGAGCTCATTTTAAAAGTCACCACCAGCCGAACTCCAAAGGGCCAGGGATCCCTCACAGTCTTTGCTTTAGTTCTTTTACATCACAAAAGTAGAAATTGCTAGAAAAAGGTTTTGTCCAATTTAGGTATTTCTTTCTGTAGGCTCTGAAAGAGAGAGTAGAAGTCACCTTTCAGAATGTTTAGTCCCGAAGTCAAGATTTGGGTTGAAAATCTAGATGCTACCGGTTGAGTGTCGGTATGCTTAGTGTGCACGAGACCCTGGCTGTATCCTAGCACTGCAAAAATACTGTTCTTAATTATTATTATTATATTATTATTATTATTATTATTATTATTATTATTATTACTGTTTGGTTTTTAGAGACAGGGTTTCTCTGTGTAGCCCTGGTTGTCCTGGAACTCACTCTGTAGACCAGGCTGGTCTCAAACTCACAGAGATCCACCTGCCTCTGCCTCCCAAGTGCTGGGATCAAAAGCATGCGCCACCACCACCTGGTATGACTGTATATTTTTATACTTAAACGTGCGATAATAGGTTCTCTACAGAAAAAAAAAAAACTTTAAATCTTTTATCTCATCCTACAGACTTTTGAATGTGATCCCCTCCCTACACCTCCAGCTTTTTTGATATGTGTGTGTGTGTGTGTGTGTGTGTGTGTGTGTGTGTGTGTTGCTACACCAACTCTTTTTTTTTTAAAGATTTATTTATTTATTATGTATACAGAAGAGGGCACCAGATCTCATTACGGATGGTTGTGCGCCACCATGTGGTTGCTGGGAATTGAACTCGGGACCTCTGGAAGATCAGTCGGTGCTCTTAACCTCTGAGCCATCTCTCCAGCCCGCTACACCAACTCCTAGTTGTCTTTGAAGCTCTTCCTAACATTCTTCTTTGCCCAAAGCATCTAAGGCATACTTCGGGGTCTTGGGCAGAATCTCTCAGTTCCAAATCCAATACTTTCTCCTGTACGCTTGTAACTTGGAAGCGTGTCACGGTATCAGGATAGAAATCTGGTTTAATTCAACAAACATTCATTGAAACAGGCACCAGCTATAAGCTACAGCTTGACTGTGACGCTAGACTGAGCCTTGAGACCACTGATGCCCTGGTGCTGTGTCAGCTGTAGGGTCTACTTGAACAAGTTAAAACCAGACGCTGGTGGCCATGTACCCCCACCAATGACCAGCAAGCTATCACACATTCTAGCTGCCCGGGTGAATCCAGCATGCTTTCGTCGGATTTGGGTGGCATATCAGTGATGCTACAAACTGTAGTTTTGCTACGGTTTAGCAGATTTGACCATGACCATGCCCAGAACCGGAGAAGAAAAGAAGTAGTTCTCTGACCCTTGGAAATCCCCTTTCTTCTCCATGGAAATCTCTGAGAACAATGTGGGTACCACACCCCTCACAACCTACTCTTAGTAAAAATCCAGTCCTGGACCTCGGAGGGGATGCGTTTATAGCCTGGGCTCTTCTCCATCCATTGACCATTGAGTAAAATTTCTAGCCTACTCCAGAACTGTTTGGCCAGTAGCCAGGCAGGAAGTATGGGTTGGGATAAGCAGACAAGGAGAATTCTGGGAAGTGGAAGGCTGAGTCAGGAGACATCAGCTCACCGCCCAGGGAGCAGGATGTAATGGCACACAGGTAAAGCCACGAAACACATGGTGACATATAGATGAACAGAATGGGCCGAGTTTAAGTGTAAGAGCTAGTCAGTGCCAGGCCTGAGCTAATGACCGAGCAGTTTTAATTAATATTAAGCCTCTGTGTGTTTACTTGGGTCTGAGCAGCTGCGGACTGGGCGGGACACAGGAAGACTTTCAGTTACAAGAGGTGGGGGCCTTTGGGAGGTGAATGGACTGTGGAGGCTCTGATATAATCAATGACTCAGCTCACGGACAGGTTCACAGATGAATGGATTTGGGAGGAGGGGCTTTGCACTCGCTGCTCCTGACCACCATGATGAGCTGAGCAGCTTTGCCCCACTGTGGACCTGCTCCCTGCCACGATAATCCATGAAGCTAGTGACACTGGACAGAGAACCCTCCCTTCCCCTCCTCCTGACAAGTATAGAGCAAGGAACTCTCCTGTGTAGTGTAAGATGATGAGAGGGAGCTCTGTCTATCTCTAGGGGCCAGTAGCATTCTGCCTCACCCAGTTGTGACAGAAAATGTGTTTCAGGTGTTGCCAAATGTTCGTCTCCACCCCTGTGTGTTGTCACAGACGTGTCCCAGCTGAGACGCACCAGTGTGAGGTTTTAAAAGTGAGGGATTGCTGGGATTAAAGGGGAGACCTTGCCTTGGGGGAGGTGGGAATGGGGGGAGGATTGGGGGGAAGGCTGGGGTGTGGGAGGAGGGAGGACAGGGGAATCTGTGGCTGATATGTAAAATTAAATTAATTATAAAATAAAATAAAAAAAAATACAAGTGAGAGATTAAGAACAAGAAGCCATCCTCTTGCAGGCTTCCCAAGTATGATATGTTGTACTGCTGTGGCTTTTCGTGGGCTATATCGCAAGAGTTGAGAATGGCTGAGACGTGGGCCTGGGTTCGTGGAAGGAACGTGTCAGCTTTCCACCACGGTGATAAAAAAATACCTAAGGTAAAGAACTCAAAAGAGCAAAGGTTTATTTTGGTTTGTGGCGACAGAGGTTTCATCTGTGATTGCTGCCACACTGCTTTTGGTCTGGTAGGTACAATATGTCATGGCAGGGATGTGTGGTGGGAGATTAATGTGCCTCGTGCTGACTGGGAAGGAGCCAGAGAGGAGAGAGGAGAGCAAGGGACCAGGGCTCTATTAACCCTCCTGAGAGCACTTCTCTAGTGACCTAACTTCCATGAGGCCCAGTGCCCCAATGGTTTCCCCACGCCCCAAGCTGGTGACTGCCTTTGGGGGCATATGGAAGATCCAAATCCACAGAGCCCATGAGGAATTCGAGAGGAAGATGGCTGATGGGAAGGGTGAGTTCCTATAGAACTCAAGAGAACAGAACCCACTGTCTAGGGTGGCAGTTTTCAATCTGTGAGTTGTGACCCCTTTGGCAAACCTCCATCTCCAAAAATATTTATATTATGATTCATAACAATAGCAAAATTACAGTTACAAAGTAACAACAAAACTGATTTTATGGTTGGGGATCACCACAACATGAGGAACTGTATTAAAGGATCACAGCATTAGGAAGGTTGAGAAGCCCTAGTTGCCGATTGGTGATGGGGTGAGATGGTACATTTGTGTGACGTAGGAAATACATACGTCCAGCCCATCCTCCTGAACCAAATTCCAAAGAGACGAATCACATGCTCCTTGGGAAGATCAAGCTTGGGGAGAGGTTGGGCTGTAAATCCTGGGAGGGAAGACTTTAATGCACTTGGAAATCAGGCCTGAAATACTCATAATGTTTGTCAGTCCACATTTCAGTGTTCTTAAGTAAGTGTGCAGGGCGTGGGGAATGAAATATGGCAGGTATTTGATTTAAAAAGCCTGCACAGATTTAACGTCCTGATAAAATGTATTAAATCTTTTAAGGTTTTAATGAATCTAGTATGTGTTTCATAAATCAAGAACTCTGCTAAGCCGTCTCCTGGTTTAATAAGAGCAAACTAGGAAATTGCTGTAAGCAGAAGCAAAATGCATTTATATCACACTGAAAAGTAATAGATTTTTAAGCTGAGGGGGTCTTTCTGGCCCTCTTAAGCTGTTTGCTTATTACACTGCTCCAACTCCTTCAGATATTAAACCACAGGCAAGCATGTGCTTAACCATATCAAGATGTGGACTAGCACAAAGGTAAATATTATTTGTAAGAGCGAAGAAAAGAAAACCAGTGTTTCCTTAACGTCTTAACCCTCAGACGAGGGCCATCTTGATTTCTGAACTTAAGCTTGGCTTTGTGGATCTACATAAGGGGAAGGTTAAAATAGTTTTTGATTTTTTTCTTTTCTTCCCCCCATCAGTTCTTGGGGTGGTACCCAAGGACTTGTTCATGTTACTAAGCCAGTGCCCAACGTACTAGCTGAAGCAGGCCCCCTACTTCAGAAATCTTTATTAATGGTTTTAAGCTTTCTTTCTCGGATTGCTCTTCCATCCTCACCCCCCCCTACCCCACCCCTCCCCCGTAACACATCGCAGACTGACACGGTAAGTATGTAAAATCAGTCTTGAGATTTACAGCTGACCGGAGTGGTTGTCAAGGGTGATGGACCCGGATGCAGCTGTCCAGAGCGAGCCTTCAGACAATCGTTTGCCTTGTTTTTCCGCCCCTGCCTAGGCTATGATGCTTGTCTCCATTCCTCTCCCTCCTTCTAGTCCTTCTGCTCAAGCTGCAGGGTGGGTGGGGAGAGGCCTTGGGGATTGAGGCGGCGTCACAGATGGGTATCTCCAGCAGGACAAGCCAGCGCCCCACCACCCAGCTTCCTTGGTAGATGGGTGAGGTCCTGGATGGTGGTTGGGGAGTTGGGGGAGGGGGAGGTGGTGTTGGAGGAATGAAGGGGGGGGGCGGGGGGGGGGTAGGGCTTGAACATTCCAGCGCACAAAAGCTGGCAAGGCTCGTGAGCTCTGCAGGGGAGGGAGCGGGCTCCATAAAGCTCGGTGTGGAGAAGCCTGTCCAACCTCATTAGCTGTCACGGGCAACAATACTGATCCGGCAATAAAGGCGATTCCAAACCTGTTGGTCATTAATCACCCGCCTGACAGTTGCGAATGGAAGTGGAAAAACTTCACCCCCTCTCCCTTACCCCCCTCCTCTGGCCCACTGGAGTTTAGAGTTACCTCCGGGTAGATGTGCGTTCCCTGTTACGCCCTGGTCTCTATTCCCGGGGCTTTTCCAGGGTCCCTTTCAGCGCTGAGAGGCCACAGGATGGTCAGCGTCTGGAAGCCGGACAGTGACTCTGCACACAAGGATCAGAGGGGAATGAGGAAGTAGAAAGGAGGTGGCCTCCAGAGCCTGACTTGTGCCCTTGGCAGCCATGAGATCTGGAGGATTGTCAGCAGTTCTCTAGGCCACCTTTCCATACCCCCCTGGTCCCCTGGCATACCTTCTCCTGGTCTTCGGCCACTGAATGCCAGCATACTTTCTTTGATGTTCCTTTCCTGGCCCTGCCACTCCCAACTAAGCAGAATCTGTTCTCAGAACACCTTCATCTCCATCTTTTCCATCCCCAGAGGCCCCTGTTGTTCCCAGCTTCATTCCGGGTAGGGGCATATGGTGAAAAGTGATGTCTGGTGTGTGAGAGGGAAAGTGTGTGTGTGTGTGTGTGTGTGTGTGTGTGTGTGTGTGTGTGTGTGTGTGTGTGTGTGTGTGTAGCCGGGGAGATGGAGGTGTGTAGGAGCCCCTGAAGTCTCACAAGGAAAGCAGCTTGGCGACATGCTCTGTCCCCTCTGGGTTATAGGCACAGAGAAAGGGACCAGAGGAGGAAAGCGGAGTGCAGAGACTCGTTGTGGGTCATCTAGGAGACTGCCCGGTTCTTAAGGTTGCTGGCCGGAGCTTCAGGGCACTTGGACCAAGTTGCCACTCGGAAGGAGGACATTGGACTTCTGCTCAGTTTCACAGCAGGTAGAGGGAAGAGGGGTGCGAGGGTTAGCCAAGCTGTTCTGAAACAGTGGCCTCATGTAGCTACCACGCTCGGGCTCTGCTGGCAGGCACTGGAGAGTAAGCGGATAGGTAACGCCTCTGCCGAGGAGAGAGATTGCGACATAGTTTCCAGTGGCTGGAAATAGCCCTCCACTTGCCCGCACCTTCCTGTGGCCTGGAGTTCCTGGTGCGTTAGTTAGTTGGTCTGCTCCGTTTTGAACGGACTTCTTGCTACTCCTCAGAGCATGAGCAAGAGGATGGTGGCTTCTGTCCAATGTTGACCCGAAGAGTTTCCTCTGCCAAGAATAAAACGGAGAGGAAGGTGAGGTGGACTGTAGTACTTCAGGCCCATTTCCCAATTTCTTGCACACTCTTATTTCTCTTGCCCCTTACGTTTTCATGTTTCTTCTAATCCTTTGGTTGTTCTTAACCCCAGCTGCACATCAAAGCCACTTTGGGGAAGTTGGGAAATATACTGATGTCTGGGTCTTATTTCCATTCCCTGTTACATACATACATACATACATACATACATACATACATACATACATACTTTAATTTTCTCTCTCTTCCCTTCCCTGCTTCCCTCTGTCCTCTCATGCTAGGGATCACCTCACCTGGAATAGCTCCTCTTTTTCTTTGCCTGGTAACTCATTAAAGCCACTGCCCGCAGCATGCTTGTGTCTATTTACAGAAAAGAAGCAACAAAACGTGTAATTCCTAGCTGGGTAAATAATGCACATACACACCTTAAAGAGATTTATTTTATTATTTTAAATAAAGTATATGTATGTGGGTCTGGGTGTGGGATTGCGTAGATGAGCATCATTGGCTGTAGAGGCCCGAGGTGCCAAACCCTTTTGGAGCAAGAGTGACAGGCAGTAGTGAGTCACCCCGTGTGCATGCTGGGATTAGAACTCAGGTCCTCTGAAAGAGTAGTATGTGCTCCTAATTTCTGAGCCATCTTCCAGCCCCCATATACTTTTTTTTTCATGTGTTTTTACTTTAAGGCTTGGTTTGAAACTGTGTAGGCGCTACAGGGCTGAGAGAGGAAGGAAGGAACGAGCGAACCGCTGAGGAATATCACACTCAGCTGGGGCTGAGCACTGGTGGGTGAGACGGGTCAGGGTAAGGGGGCAAAAGGAGGCAAGGGTGCCACAGCCCACGGAACGGCAATGGCAAGTGAGCAGGAGCCGGAATGTTCGGGCATGTGCGAGGGACCGGAGTACGATTGATGAGGTAGAGGTAGCTTAAGTCCTCTGTCCTCCTTCATCCTGAACCGATTCTTCCTAGGTACCCACAGCGGCACCGTGAATCTCCCTAGGCAAGTGCTGTAGGCTGTCCAGGAGCCCCTTCAGGGCTTGAAACTAATGGGTGTCTCTAGGTCTCTTAATCAACTGTGTAAAAAGGGAAAAGCAGGGGCCATCCACCGTGTTGCACAATTCAATACGATGCAAATCAATCTGATGTAATCCAATCCAGTCCAATTTGGCATATACTTATTAAGTGCCCATTGTGTGCCAGCTCTAGGCTTTTGTGAGTCCACTAAATGGACAAAGATATTGGCCCTTCTGAGCATAAAGTCTTTTTTAAAAATTTTTCTGTCATATATTACATCCCAACTGCAGTTTCTCTTCTCTCCACGTTCGTTATTCCTCATCTCCTTTCTCCCCCCAGATGCAAGCCCTCTCCATCTTCCCTCAGAAAAGAGTAGCCCTCCCAGGGAATCCATCAAACACAGCATAATATGCTACGATAAGACCAGTTGCATACCCTCACGTCAAGGCTGGATGAGACAGCTCAGTAGGAGGGAAAGGGCCTCATAAATGGGCAAAAGAATCAGTGACTGTCCCTGCTCTCTCTGTTAGGAATCCTACAAGCACACCAAGCTATGCAGTCATAACAGACATGCAGAGGACCCACGTCAGACCCCTACAGGCTCCCTGATCTCTTCAGGCCCCCATGAGTCCCGGTCAATTGATTCCATGGGCCATGTTCTCTTGGTGTCCCTGACCCCTCTGGTTCCTCCGATCCTTCCTCCCCTTCCTCTGCAGGCCTCCCCAAGCTGAGCATAGATTCTTATAGGGAGGGAGACATGGGCAACAGTCACAAGATGGCTAACACAGAGGCAAATTATATAGTATTATGTGAGCATGTAGGTGAGGGCGTGCGTGTGTGGCGGCATAGTAATTAATGGAATGTATGAAGTAGAAGCAATCGTTCCTCAAGGTAATAAATAGGAGGTCAGCCTAGGACTCACTGAGGAGAAAGACTTGAAGGAAATAAAGCAGTTGTCAAGTGGATACTCAGAAGAGAAGAGAAGGCCCCGAGTCTGAGTGTGTCTAGCATGTTTGAGGAACAGCAAGGAGACCATGTGGCTGGCAGCCAAGCCACCGGAGGAGACCATGGTAAGAGAAATTAGAGAAGGGGCTGGGTGTTGAATCATGCGTGGCCTCAGAAGCCGCTATGGGGACCTTGGCCTTTACTCTGAGGTTTCTAACCAGAGAGTGGCATGATCTAACTTGTGGTATTCAAAGCTCTCTTTGGCTATTAAATTGAGGATAGACGAAAAGGGGTTGGGAGGTATAGAATAAGACCAAGACAGAGGCTGACTGTGTGCGTGTGTGTGTGTGTGTGTGTGTGTGTGTGTGTGTGTGTGTGTGTGTACATGCATGCATATTCATGCTAGAAACTGTTGCTAGGGACTCACACGTGCTAGGCAAGTGCTCTACCGCTGAGTTGCACCCCAGTCCCTATCTTTTTTTTTTTTTTTGCAAATATGCAGAACCTAGGCAACTCAATGACATCTGACTTTTGGAGCACTCATATTCTCTTTCTTCGAGGTGTGGTTTTTACTTTGTGGCTCATGCTTCCCTAGAGCTCCTTGTGTAGCACAGGCTGGCCTAGAACTCTTGGGAATGCTCCTGCCTCAGCCTCCTCAGTATTGGGGTTACAGGTATGAACTACATGTTCATCAGGGCTCCATTATAAGATACATGTCACTTAGATTTTTTTAAAAGGTTTATTTTGTGTGTGTGTGTGTGTGTGTGTGTGTGTGTGTGTGTGTGTGTGTGTGTGTACATCTCTGTGAGTGTATCTGCACCTTGTATAGTCAGGTACCCAGTGGTGCTCAGAAGAGGGTGTTGGGTCCCTTGGACCTGGAGTTACAGGCAGTTGTGAGCTGCTTGACAGGATGCTCTTAACCACTGAGCCATCTCTCTGTCCCTTTGTTTAGATATTGGGCCTGACTAGGAAAATCTCAACATCCAGGGTTGGTTTCAACAGCTATTCCCATTTGCTATAGTTTGGACCTGACATGCTCCCTAAAAGCCCACGTCTTGAGGCCTTGGTCTTTAGCCTGTGGGGCTACTGGAAGGTGGCTGAAACACCGAGGTGGGACCTAGTAGGAAGAACTTAGGTCCCTGAGGGTGTGCCCTTTGAGGGGATGCTGAGAAACTAACCCCTTTCTCTCTGTTTCACAGCTACCACAGAGTAACCAGGCTGTCTCTGTCGTACATTCCTGCCATGATACACCAAGCCCTGCAGGCCCAAGCGACAGGGCCCAGTGACCATGGACCAGAGCTTCTGAAACTAGGAACCAAATCCTTCTTCTTCATAAGCTAATTTATGTCAGGTATTTTATCACAGCGATTGAAAACTGACTAACCCCCACCCCCCCAACCTACACCAGTACACAAAGATTTGTCGCTGTCAACACAGAAAGCCACAGGCTTTTAAAGATGGATTTGAGCAAGGCAGCACAGTGCAATAAACATCCAGCCTTCAAAGTTTGGAACGGGCCATATTTATTTCTCGATCTAAGCCCTGCTGTGCACACCTGTAATGGCAGCCTTTGGGAGGTGGGAGGAGGAGGGTGGAGAGAGTTCAAGGCCAACCTCAGCTATACAGTGTATTGGAGGCCAGGCTGGACTTCAGAGTGAGACCTTGTCGCAAACAAACTGTCACGTGGTGACATTGTCGCTTCTGTGTTCCCCTTACTGCTGAGCCAGAGCTTGGCTCATAGCACACTCAATAAGAACCTGGGGAGTGGAATTAAACTGTGGGCATGTTAGTGTGGTGTTAATTTGCAAGGCAGTATTAGAAATTCCATTTGGATGTCTAAATAAAGCTTTAAAATTGTTTCTGCGTGCCAAAATACTTTTAATATCTTTTATTTATTATTTCACAGTCTCATGCATGCACAAAATGTATTTTGATCATATTTGCCCCCCAACTCTTCCCTCACAGCTCCCCTTCAGGAACCTCCTAACGCACCCCTCACCCCATTTCAGGTGTCCTCCTTTTCATGTTGTAACTCCCTTGGGTCCAGTTGGTTCTGTGTGCAGGGATGTTCACTGATCTCGCTGGCTTGACCTCGTGCAGGTAACTATAGCGCAGTGGGTCCATGACAGTGTCGGCCACGTGATGTCTAGAAGATAGCATTTCATGGCACACTTCCATTCTGCTACGATGTCCCCTGAGCCTTTCCGGGGTTGATATACATGTCCTCTTTAGAGCTGAGCGCTCAACACCAAATTCTCAGCAACTTCAGAAAGACGCCCTCTCTGGCCAAGGGTGAGTATCGCCAGTCTATGGGTTTGAAAGATAATTCTAAAAGCATTTATTTTAGTGTATTACCAGTGTATGGGTGTGCGTGTTGTGTAGGTCAGAGGCCAGCTTTGTGGAGGTGGTCCTCTCCTTCCCCCTTTCTAAGCGGGAATCAGACTTAGCTTGCCAGTTTACGGCAGACAAACACCTTTAGCGCCCCGAGCCGTCACACAGCCCCTTTTAAAGACAGGCTCTCACTCTGTACTCCTGTGGGCTTTGAGCTTGAATTTCTCCAGCACCAGTTCCAAGTAGTGTGATTGCCAGTGTGCACACACGCCAGCCTGGCTCAACTCCAGCTAATGTTGAGGGCTAAACTAATTTTGTCTTCTTCCAGAGATGCGACACACACACACACACACACACACACACACACACACACACACACACACACACACACAGTGGTTTTACTTTGTAACCACTTTTCTGTTAAGCCTCTAACAACTCCATTTAAATGAATAAAAGGCTGGAGGGTGGCTCCTGGAGGTGTCCTCCTTTTCATGTTGTAACTCTCTTGGGTCCAGTTGGGTTCCAGTCACTGGAAGGACAGAAAGACATGGAAACTTCCATCTTCCCTCTCATGTCCCCTCCCTTCTGGGGAGGAAAATAGGACCACACAAACAACAGGACACTTCCAGCCACGTGCTGGCGGGGACTCCAGCCAGCAGCGTCTCCTTAGGTCCAGGTGCTAATAGTCTTTAAAAGTTCTTTAGTGGGGGCTGGAGAGATGGCTCAGCAGTTAAGAGCACCCGGAGGACCTGGGTTCAATCCCCAGTTCTAGGGGATCCAATAGACACACATGCAGGCAAAACACCACTCCTTATAAAATAAAAAGAAATCATGAAAAAGAGAAGACGCGTTAGTGAATTTTGCCATCTCCCATTTCTGTAGTCCTGAAAACTGTTCTCTAATAAAAATGGTGTCACTGTTGAAAGGATGTTGGAAATTAACCATCACATGCAATCCCTTGTTCTACATATAACAATTAGTTACTTTTGGATAGCTGTGACCCAAAACACTTGAGGGAAGAGAGACTTATTTTGGCTAAGGATTTGGCAGGGAAAGTGTTGCAGCAGGAGTGTGTGGCCAAACTGTTCATATACTAGCTGATCGAGAAACCGAGACTGGCCAGAAGTAGGCGCCGGGGCTGTATCTCTCAGGGACCTACACCGTGTGACCTCCTAGGGTTTACTTCCTAAAGGGGGCAGGCAGCCTCCCCAAATCCTGCCAATAGAACCATGAGTCTATGGGGGACATTTCAATCAAATCACAACAGGAAGAGGGAGGCCAGTAATGGGCCTGCTCACCTGGAACACAGTTAGAAGCAGAACCCGGGGCTCTTGATTTCACGCTGTAGGACGGAAGTTATAGGACCATTCTAGATTGCAGGGAGACAAGCAGGTGCCAAGTGGGCAGAGGCCCTAACAGTGTGTGCGCACGCGGTTGTTTCCGAGAGCAGAGGCTGAGGTGAGAAGGCATGGCGGGGCTGAGCCCCCCCGCAGGGGCACCCCTAGGCAAGTCACAGCTGGAGAAATGCTAACTGTTAATTCTTGTTTTCCGAGGCGCACAGCCCTCCCACAGCTGGAAGGGCAGGAGCAGGACAATCAGGGAGGCCAGGAATGCCTAACAGGCTGAACATTAGCTGGCAGTAATTACACCAGGCCTCAGTAATGAGCTGAATTCCTCAGCGTGGGGTCCTTAGGTCCCAACCACTGGACGGGAACAAAGACCAGAGCTGGGACACCCACCGGAGAAGGTCATCTGCCCCTGCTCCTGACCTGAGCCCTTCGGTGTGCAGGGTGACTATGCCTTACAAACTTTCTCAGTATATTCTCATGGTAGCCAGAGGACCGGGACCAAGTCTTCTCTCCTCCTCTCCAACTCTTTTCTCCCACCCTCCCTTCCTTCCACTCACCTCCTTTCGTCTCCCCACTTTCCTTTCCCATGTAGCTCAGGCTATCCCGTAACTGGCATTCCTCTAGCCTCAGCCCCACCAAGGCAGGGATTACAGGCAAGCACCACCACATCTGGTCCACAGAGGTGGTGTTTGTGTTGTTGTTGTTTTTTTTTCAATGTAGAAGAACAGTGAGTTCCTCTCAGGGGATTGCCAGGTATCATGTCCTTGCACCAGGCGAGCTCTTCAATGCAGCTTCTTGGCCAGCACTCTGAGAACATCTCCCATCTACAATGTGCTCATGGCGACTTAGGGGCTCAAGTGAAATTACAGCTGTAGCTCTAGAGTAGTGTCCTGGAGTCCGTGTTGCAAGGAGCTCCCAGGCCGTGTGGATGCCGCAGATTTTCTAAAATCGGGGGCACGCACGAGCCTTGAAGGTAGCGAATGGGGGTGAATGAATAGGGATTAGTGCTCCCCAAGTCATCCCCTGGAAGACGGCCTTCTCAATGCTCTCCTGATGCTCCAACCCTGCAGATCCCTTTACACACACTCTGCTCTTCTGGATTTTTTTTTCAGCCCCTACCAGCTGGCCTCTGTGAACACCCCTGTGGCTCTTACCCATCTTTGTGCTCCTTAGTGTTCTTTGTCTAGACTGTTCCACATGTCTGTTTGTTATCCCTCCCCCCAAAGATGGCTAGTTCCTCGTGGGCCACTCACTTCCATCTGTCCTTGTAAGACACAAGACTGGAGGGAGAGCCAGAACTCTGTAGGCGTTGGTTCCCAGAATTGATCTGCCCTTCGGAGCCAACATCTTCTCTCCTAAGCCCCCATGTCACCTTGCTCAATTGGCCCCAAGAATCTATGCCAGGCTCGTCTCCCCCCCCCCCCCCCCCCCCCCCCCCCCCCCGCCTGGATGTTGTTTCTAGAACAATAAGATGGATTCAGCCCGTCTCCCAAGAGAGCTCTGAGTTCCGGAATGGGGGTGACATAGTTTTTCTTCTGGCAAAGGAGGAACTGCCCAGTGAGGGAGGCCAAGGCACCATTGATCTGAGTCCAGTGACAAGTGGTTCCTCAGGAGCCCTGGATCCTGGCCTGCTTCTGGGCGACTCCTTTCAATTTCCTTTCATGTGTTAGACTTCACAAACATGCCAGCTTCCAGCTGCCCCCATCAGAGACTGCGGCAGGGAGAGCGGTGTGGTGTGGTGGGGAGCAGCTCACGGTGGGCAGGTTTCATCCCACCTGGGGTCAGAGGTGAAAGTGTATCGGTAGGCCAATCCAACACCAACCCTTATAGTGACAACCCAGCCCTGCACAGAAACACAGAGAAACACACTGCCCACAGAAGGCAAATTCACACTACGACAGCTTGCCCCCGCCACGCAGTACGCTCAAGACACACACACACACACACACACACACACACACACACACACACACACACACAAATACTTAACCAATTAAGTCCGTCGAGCACTTTTTGCAGATGATGGCGTGGAATTGTGCTGGAGTTGTGTCCGGCCTCATTAAATGTCAGACTTAACAATACGGCACTTGGCAATCAAGGCTGCTCTGTGGCTGTTAGTCATTAATCACCCATCTGACAGTCCTGAATTGGGAACGAGGAGCTGCTCACATGTGCTCCGTGTACCTCGTTCCCTTCTTGGTAATCAGCTTCAGCAAAGTTTTTTTTTTTTTTCTTTTTTTGACTCCATGCCTGTGAGGGCCTCTGGTCTGGCAAGGGCCAGAGGGTCGCTAGGCTGGTCTCGCTCCTCCCCTCCCCCCAACACCACTGGGAGGAAAGCTGAGGTACATGAGAGGTGAGCATATTGTTTTTGGCCAACTCTTCCCCTCATGGGTATGTTTTATAAAGCCTTGTTTTTCTATTCTGGCCTCATGGGCAGGAAAATTATTATTATTTTTTTCCCTGAAGAGATTCCAAAAGATGGGAGGGAGCTTGGTTCCGGTCTAGAGACCATTGGGGTACATTTGTGAAGTGCATCTTTCCCAAGCTGCAGAGATAGACCCGGTTTGCTGGAAGATGCGCTCCACTCATTCCAAGTATTGCTTCTAGTGGGTCAGGCCGCATTTCAGCTTGCCCTCCAGGTCCCTCTGCAGAATTCAAAGGGCAAAGACTAGTTTTCCTTTTGAGGTCTATTTTTAGCACATTTTCACAGTCTTATTCATTCATTTATGGATTTTTAAAATGCATCTTGTAGTCAAGAAACATCTATGGGCCACTGAGATGGTTCAGTGGTTAAAAGGAGCTTGCCACCAAGCCGGATGACCTGAGTTTAATACCCTGGACTCACATGGTGAAGAGAACCAAATCCCACCAACTGTCCTCTGACCTCCTCACATGCACCGTCCCTTGTACGTGCGCGTGCGCGCACACACACACACACACACACACACACACACACACACACACACATATAAACACACAATAAATCAATTTAAAAAAATTCAAAAAGGAAATACCTGGCCTCCACCCCCAGGGCATCGATCCCAGAACTGCTGTTCTTGGGAACGTGTTTCTGATCTGGCACCCTTTAATGGTCTCGTGTGCCTTTGCTTTCAGACCCTGATTCTGTTTACCTAGGTGGGATTTTTATCCTCTTTAGTGGGCACGGGCGCATCAGCAGG